TCACAGTCTTTGTGATTCATCGTCCTGCTCTTTCATCTCCATAGCAATGACCACAGCGTACAGGGTGCTGTCAGTATGGCCAGTTTTGATTGATGTTTTGCTGTGGACCAAAAAGTATGTGTTAATAGTTTAACATGAGTGTCACAAATGTGTGCAGTTTAATGTCTAACTCACTTTGTTGTCGTTTTTTTTCCTTCAGTTTTTAACTGGTTTCCTTTATGCTCTTGTCCTTAGGTTCAGTATATGGCATATGTAGGTATTGGTGGTCTCTTCTCCGTGCTGAAGACCCTTTTTGCAGGTGTCGTCTTCTGGTTCATGGTCAAATTTAGTCTTGGCAGGGGATTGCTTACTGAGGTCCAGTACCATTTTAAAAGCCATTGGATTACTGTTGATCTGCTACAAGAAAATTTAATGGATAAAACTCTCATTCATACTGCAGAACATCAAGAACCGCTTATATAAACTCATGAATATCAACTCAAATATGTGTGTGTGTGTGTGTGTGTGTTTTTTTTATTAGTTTCCAGAATTTTTCTCATTTGGTTTGTTCTCCAAGACTGGACCAACAAGAAAGCAGGTACAAAAAAATGCACTGAAATGTCTAAAACACAATATGAAATGCTAACAGCTGTCATACACAGCCCTCGGTTGTGTTGTTGAAGTGAAATCTTATTCTTGTCTTATTCCAGATGGATGGAACCTCTTTCTGCCTGAGGTTCATGGGGGAGGGCTACACGAATGGTCAGGACCCCTCTCAGGGCAAACCAAATGCCACAATCAGCACTGAAATAACAGGACCAGGTATTGTCCTGCTCTCTATTTGATCCGACTCAAAATATTCACCCCAAATACTTAGATATGGTCACTACTGCCATATTTTGCAGAGCCAGGATACATCGCAACACCGATTACCATGGTGCAGGCAGCTATTACACTGCTTAACGAACCTCACTGTCTCCCTAATAAGTGAGTAAAATGACCTCAACGTAATATATGGATGATTCTTAAGTAAGCATATTGGTCCTGTGGAATAAAAAAACTCTTTTAAAATATTTTTCATATCCTCTGTTAATTAAACAAAGCAAATAAACTACAATGTCCAATATTGGATATACAATATTGTTCAAAAGTTTGTGGTC